TAATGTTCTCAGATAATAATTAACATAATTACAATAATATAAAATGGTAGCATTTATCTTGGAAGACCCTGTATTTAGGTTTTTTGGGATATATTTGATCATTGTATCCATTCCAATAAAGCAGAATTTATTATTTAATATGACCAATTGGAAAACTGTTTTCAGGAGTATATTAATGGTTTTATGTTATAAATAACGATTAAATTTCCTTGTCTCATCCTTAAAATCCTGCATGGAATTCATTTTTTCTTCATTTATGACTTCCAAATTACATTTGTTAACATAAAGCAAAATAATTAATAACAAAATTCACAAGGTTAATTATTTTAAATTTATAATATGTTCTTTCATACACAGAAAGAACATAGATGTTCATGTCTGATATTAATCCTTTAAATGAGATTCCAAACCAATATAATATTTTCAAGAATAATTTTGTCAAAAAAAGAATGTTAACTTGTAGTCATAAAATAATTTACAGGATTCTTACGGCGATTCGGCACTTCACGATGCTATAGGAAAAGAGAATGTGGAAATAATAGATTTACTAATAAATGTACCAGAGATTGATTTCTCTTTAAAAAACAAGCGAGGCTTTAATGTTCTTCACCATGCAGCTTTAAAGGGAAACAATTTGTAAGTTTTCATGTGATTGTGTTTGAAATTTCTATATTTGTAGGTATTTGATTGCACTGTTAATTAATTTTAAAAAAATTTTTTAAACAGCGCTACAGAAAGGTTACTAGCAAAGACGAGGCAAATTGTAGATGTAAAGAAAGATGATGGTTTTGCTGCACTTCATTTAGCAGCTCTCAATGGTCACTATCAAGTAGCCGAGACATTATTAACCCAGGTATTGAAAATGTTATTTAAACACTAATTATACGGAATGATCAAACAAAATTTAGAACTCGAGTACAGCAGCATGAAGAGTTTGGTAATGCCAGTTTGCAGCTTCGCCAAGTCTGACTTGCAGCATTACTAGATTTCTCGTATCACTTCACACGAGTTCTATTTTTATTTGATCATCCGGGTAATTAAGATGCTATATCATTATTATAATACATTATTATTTAATACAGGGACAAAGCGAAGTAGATATTAGGAATAACAGAAAACAGACACCATTATTACTAGCAGTAAGTCAAGGGCATTGTTCTCTTATTGAATTGCTAGTACGATTCGGAGCAAATATTAATGCAGAAGATGAAGACGGAGATACAGGAATGCATTTAGCATTAATGAAACAGAAGTCAGAAGTAGATATTAAAGAAGCACAAACGATTAGTGGGGTAATGTGTTGAGAAAATAATTCCGATAATGATGTTAACCGCCATATTTATAAATGTGTAATTTCAGATTGTCGAACATTTAAATGGCCAGGGACTAGAAAAATGTAACGGATTTGCTATTGCATGTTTTATTGCTCAAGAAGGTGGCAAACATGTCCACAAAAATCACAAAGGAAAAACGCCTCTAGAGCTTCTTTCCGATAATCACAAATTAAAAGAATTACTATTATATTACTCATCTTTAAATAGGTTTGCATTTTAAATCAGTATTAATGTTTTGTCGGCTAAATAAATTAATAAGTGAATATTTTTTTACGTTTAGTGCTCAAGCCCATTCCATCGCTCGGGAAAATGGCGATCCTGGATCTTCCGCAGCAGAATCTAATCAGACAGAAAGTGACTGTTTAATATGTTGTGAAATGATAGCAAGCATTACATTTGATCCGTGCGGTCATACCGTCACTTGTGAAGATTGTTGTGTTCGAATGAAAAAGTGTATCGCTTGTCAGGAGTCGATACACAAGAAAATAGGCCCAGGTTAGCAATAAAGCATTTTAATTTAATTTCATGATTTGTAAAATCTGCAAATATTGCATTTAATTCATTTTTAACACTTCATCTATTTAAAGAGATCATAATAATGTTTAAGAATTGAAAGTAAAAAGTATTGTTTTTTTAAGTTTTTTGTTACTTTAACATTTCAAAACTAAATCAATAAAATTCACAAAGTAGATATCCCAATAATAATAATCAGATGGATTAAAAATGCTGTCACTGTAAAAAGTATTTTTTTTTTTTAATTATTGTAATATTAATTAACAAGGAACAAAATACATGTTTTGCTGTTAATTTTCTGGACAAAATTACAAGATTTAAATAAAAATTTTACATACTGTTGATAGTGAATAATCAATATTTCGACTAATTAAAAAAAATTATTATATTGCAGATCTTAATCATGGCATTTTTATATCATTCTTCAGAAAGTGGCAACATTAAACACAAGTCAGACAGCAACTTTTTTTAAAAATTGATACATAAGTTAATGACATACAAATGAGATAGAACAATTGTTTTTTAATTGCTACATCTTGAGTCTGATCTAATATAGCAGTGTTTCTCGGCTTTTTACTTGTCGCAAACCAGTAAAATTATGGATTAGTAATTATATGAGACTATGAATTATGCTTATCTGGAGTTACCAAATGTGACAAAGTATATTCAATAATTCTAGATTACTATTTAAGCATCACCTGTAATCAACTGTGCCAGTGTTGGTGCAATCAAATATTTTTCTGTGGACTGGTGGATGGAAAACACTGCTTCAATTAAATCAATAATTAAATACAGTATAAAGAATTCTTTTCAAATATTTGTGTATATACATTTTAATTGATGTGTAAAATAGTTTGTACATTTTAATTTTTATTTCTAGGTGGTAGAGTGATATCTTCGAAAGTAAGACAGGCAAGTGCAGAGAGATTACGCTATCTAGAAAATAAAATACAAGAAATCGAAGAAGCTCACTCGTGTTCGATCTGCATGGAAAGAAGGCGAAACATCGCCTTCCTCTGCGGCCACGGAGCATGCATCAGTTGTGCTCAAACGCTTAAGATTTGCCACATGTGCCGTAAACCGATAACCAAAAAAATCAATTTATATTGATGGTTTTACATCATAATTTTATCTAATTCTGTTGTGCCATCAATCGCTCTTAAAGACTAAATGGAAAGACTCCTACCGAGGAACAATTACTGTGATATGCAGTCCCTGCATATATTTATCACTTCCTTGTCTTTGTCACAACTAGGAAAAAAAAAATATTATATATGGAAATTTCGTAAAGAATTTTTCCATCACGAGAATGAACCAGAAAACGCTTTGCGTCTACCATGCAGTCTTCAGTTTATAAGAAACAAACTTTTCTTTTATAAAAATTTGTACATTTCTGGATAAATGTTTTAATTTATCTTTACACTTCCACGTTGAGCAATAAATTTTTTGAAAGCGAAACGAGACGAAAACCAGAGAAAACGTAGATTCCTTTAAAGATGTTTTACAGTAATCAATGTAACCGATCCCCTTTTTACTAGTAACTGTAGATCAAAAATGTTTAATATGTTTATGTAATATTGTTGGTATATTTTGTAAATATTGACAGAATCGTATCGTAATGACTAGTGTTCTCGTTTCTCCGTATTTGTGACATTTAGTCATATTTCAATTTATATATTTTTCCTATATTGTATATTTCCTAAGATAGTCTACATTTTTGAACATTTGTGGGAAGAGTATAGATATTTTTTGTGACGCTAAAAACGAAGACAACCGAAATTCAGATGATGAATTATCGATTTATTTATAATTGCCTCTCGAAAGAGTCGATCCCTTTTGCCACGAGAATAATTTATATGTTTCGATGCAACTTTTGTTAATTAGTATTTAACGCCGAGCGTTTCAAATTGCTGCAAATCAATAGAGATCCATGCACGAGCAAGAAATATATGCATATCAAGTTAATTAGGAACATTATTAAAAGTTGTATATAATTTATATTATTTTTATTTTGCAGAAGAGTAATTTATACCACATCTGTTACCAATTTTAAGCAATATTTTGTTTATTTCAACTGGAAGAAAAGAAATTCTTGTAAGTTGTTTTTATAAAACAGTAAATTTGTTTGGATGTAAAATTAAAATTTTCAAAAATATTTAAACAATGAAAAATCTACAGATTGCTACAATGTTTACAAATAAATATTACGAAAATATGAGTGTTTGCGTATAAATTTTTACTTCCAAGATTTAGTTGCACAGGTAATTTTAAATGGTTTAAGAATCGGACTCTCTCGGACGTACACTTTCAACCTTTCGAATAAAATAAAGGTATGATTTAAAGCATTTAAATTTCAATTCTTAGAATTTGACTTATCAATTTGTTTTATTTTCACATAGATTATTTTTTGAGGAAAAATCCACGGAAGAGAAATAAGCTGACATACTAGGTGAATAAATGAGAAGTTTACTCACAAGAAGGTATTTGGCAAAACTGTAAGCTGTTTACATTCATTATTACTTAGCTACACATTACATTTCTTGTAATGTTTAGCTAAATTGTGAACATTTATTTACTGTAGACTTGAGGACCTTATATTTGAAACTATAAATAAGTTTTCAGAAAATTCTTTGTTAAAAAGTCAAAAGTTGATTCTTTTTGTAACCGTATGAGCAAAAACGTAAGATAATTGCTAAATATTTCATGGGATTCGCTTCTAAATGCATCGTAATGTCTGTCAATAACTCCTACGAAAATTTTCTATTTTGTAATTTAAATAATTTTCAGTTATTGTATACTATAACTCTATGC